GTAGTCTTAACAACACAATGAATTATATTAAAGCTGTATTGAATTTGATTAAGTGATTATATAATTAAGTTTAATTTATGCTATTTGTATTATTGGCTAAAAAGGTTTTAAGGTTCCTGCTTTGTTACATCTCATTTGAAGAGGAAGTCAATGTCCATTTACTGTTGCTCTGAAAAGGTTAAGATGGCCATCTGTAACTCTGACATTTTAAAGCTTCAAAAGAACCGGTGATTGTTTGCCGCATTGATCAGCATCAGCACGATGCAAAGTCACAAATTTCCTACTTTCCTTGAAACTGAATGAGCCATTTATATACAGTGTGTACCATCTCTTAAGCTTCTAAATCAATTGCAGTTTATGTTTTCAAGCTTTATTGATTTTTTCCAAATGGCTATCATAGCTTTGTGTTTGTGCTAATGAAAGGAAATCCTACTTTCCTGCTTTCAGAAGGAAAACATCTCTGCCAGTGGGTAGGCTTTTTATCCTTTTCTTATCTTTCCTGCTTCCAAGAATGCAAGAAGACCTTTAACAGGTCCCTGTACATAGTTTGTTGTACCTTTGCATTGTTCTACACTTATGCTAACACACATTCTCACATACACACATTTGCAAAAGTGTGATAAATCAAATGATAGCCTAAATGGCGTATCCCCCCTGTGACACATCCAAGAGGAAACCATACATTACCTGTCTATGCCATGTATGTGTGTATTTGTGCGCTTACTTGTGCGTGTTGCAGCTTGTGTGGCAGACTACACCATAGTCCTTTAGCCATTTTGTGTCAGATTTATGAAACCTTTCAGCTCAAAGTCATCAGTTACAAAGCACTAAAAACCATTTTATTGTCCTGCTCTTTCTCTCTTTCTTCGTCTCAACATTTCTCTCTTGTATCCATCATCTCTCATCTCTGTTTCTGATGGAAGAAAAATACCAGTAGATCATCAGGTGGACATAACAAATCACAGTGTCTGCCTTTAGATACCAGCACAGATGATGGTAATGAATTTGCCATCACCCAGCATAGCATCTTAATTATGAATGTTGTTATAAAGTCCAGCGTTAAGTAAACCAGGCTGATTCAATTTCAAGGTATTTATACTTAATGTGGGCATTAATGCTTAAATAAATAAAATATGTTTTTACATACATAGGATTTACACCTACGCTTACTATATCTTTCCTGAATGAATTGTGTTTGACAGATTTTACATCATGTCATTAAAAATTAATGTTAAATATACACGATCTATGACCACACGTCACACTTTATCCAGGCTTCAGCAGTGGAGTCTTGCTTTAAGATGGCTTAAATCAAAAAAAGATCCCAAATCTGATTAAAAGCAAGCCAGAAAACACATTTTAAGGTTGTTACTTTACGAAATTGCACCTTTTATCACCAGACTTGTAAATATTTATAGTCTTTAATGACAAGGACATATTCCTTTACTGTGGACGTTGATTTATTTTAGGGCATATCTCACCATGTTATTAATGGAACAGAAGTCTTAATTATTAATAGCAGCATTATTAACAGCTACGCCGAGTTTCCGATTCAGATTTTAAACATTTATAGAATTATTATTGGTGTGACAGAGCAAGAGCAAGAGATTGATCTACCTGGACTCTGTGTGTGTGTGTGTGTGTGTGTGTGTGTGTGTGTGTGTGGGTGTGGGTGGTGAGAGAGATAAAGAGAAAGAAAAACGAGTCTGTTGCCAGACTAAAGCTCAGGTCGGTGCTTTTATTTTGAAACATGTACGCTTTATCCGTGAGTTATTATTTCTGGCCTTAATATTATACCCAAATGTTCCAAAATGAATACTCACTTGAAGTTATTCCTGATGTCAGATTTAAGTAATAAAAGGATGAAAGAGTTTCAGTTGCAAAAATGTTTTAGGTGCACAGTCATGTGTCATGCACAAGCAGAAAACAATGCTACGCCTTTAGGCTATTACCAAATGAACCAGTTTTATTGGTGTTTAATGACCACAAGGTAGTTAAAAAGTGAAGTCATACAAGTCTGCTTCATTTTTTGTGGTTTACTTGTTTCTCTAAAGCTAATCAATAGCTTCCTCAGTCTCTGGTCATGGAAATATCTGCATAAACACACATTTGTGTGTGTCTGTGTGTGTGTGTTTGTCTGAGTGTTGTGTTATGTCTTTGTTTATCATATTTATGTCTTCTGGAGCCCACCCTCCTCCTTTTATGTGGGGTCATAAATTGTATAAAGTACCCTTTGTGTGTGTGTGTGTGTGTTTACTTGTGTGCATGCGTCTGTGGACAGAAAATGAATGTTGTGTACATTTTACCACCCTATCCTCCCAGGCCCTCTGTCAATAAGATGGAGCAGGGGGTGAGGTGGTGTGTGTGTGTGTGGGGGGGGTATGAGATGTGTATCATCTGGAGCTCCTTGTGACACAAATCTTTCCTACTGTGATGCATAAACATGAAACAGCACAGCGGAAAAAAAAGAAGCACAGAATAGAGCAGAGCCTGCAGGAATAAAGTAGAATACATTTGACCATCATCCAACAACTGCTTCAGGATACATGCGTCAACGTCTTGTTGAAGTTTAACATTTTTATCTGTTTGAAACTTCCCACTGATTTTATATGCAATCACACCACAAAATTCAATGGAAGGTCTGTCTGAAGAAACCTTAATCCATTGTTCCATTTCTCACGTTCAACCTTCTCCATAATTTCAAATTCATCTGAAGTGGCCTTAATAAAAGAGACTGGGATGACTTGGACACTTAAAAATTCAACAGTGAGTGGAACAGAAACCGCTTATAACACTGACAAGTGTTGAGAGACATCCAGTTTAATAAGGACCTCCACTTTGTACTGTTTTTATTATTTTTTTCCTGGTTCGTGAGGTGCTGTGGGTATCCCTTGATGTACTACTACAGTACTACTTTTCACTAGCACATGCAATCGGAAAGGGGTGGTAGAGGGTGAGGGCATAAGGAAAAGGAAGATGTGGGATGTAAATCGATTTCCTGTAAATGTGATGTGTTTATTTCTGCCTGTGTGATACCCTTGTGAGGAGCTGCCAGCTTGCCTAAGGTATTTCTCTGCCTTCTACATTCTGGGATACTATAGTCCCCAGTCTCCCCATGATGATGAATAAGGCGTTGGTGAATATGATAATGCATTTTGATTTCAATCAAAAAAAGACATTTGGGGATTTTCCTGATAAAATGATAGAATATAATCTCACTCCAGTAAAACGAATTAATAGAACGTAAAAGCTTGACTGCAAAGGTAAAGCTTTTGACTCAAACACAACAGGAATGTGAGGCGATAGAACAATCAAGACTGCTGTGTTTTGCTCAGTCATTAAGTGCAGTTAGCGTCTGATTTCGCTCAGCTCAAAATGTACTGTTCGCACAGTGGATGTTGTGTTTCACTGCTGACACAGCTCTCTTACTCTCCCAGGCTAGAATATGGAGCACAAATTCACTCACACACAGACACATACACACTGAGACTAGATTGTGTTTGGCTATAATGCATTTCCCTATACAGTATACCATACTGTAGGATAGTAGACCTGTCATTTTAAAGGAACGTATTACTTGCTCATCTGATAGCAACTTGAATGTCCCCCTGTCATTGTCTAACATGTTGCTAGCATGCTTCTGGTATGGAATATGTTGTAACCATCATCACTGTCGAATGTCTTGATGGCAAGACATACATGGACATAAGTGTTTGTTTGTTTTTTTCCGAGCTAATCTGTTCTTCTGTAGTCAGAGGGAAACTGCTGAGGACACACACGTACACACACAAGCAACGTAAAAGGAGAATAATGTCTTTTTAAAGACACATTTTTACTTTAAGAAAATGTATGTGCATATACTCTCAGGTGAACTTACATATATTTTTGAGCATATGTGAGTTCTCTGGAGCTTAGCTAATGCATGTTTGTTCTTTTATGTGGTGAGCATGATGATTGGCTCGAGTATTTAGGGATATCTCAGCCTTTTCAGGGTTTCCCTTCACAGGTATGCTAGTGCAGGTCAAGCGTTAAGGTTGGTATACTACAGATTTGCCTTTGTTGAAAACATATTTTTGAATGGAGATTTTGACTAGTGTCACAGAAACAAATACCCACAAATCTAGAACAAACCAATATTGACATTATGGGTCACATGAGTACTGGTAATGCAACACTATTATTCTGACTTTTCTGATTGATTGTGCATTGATGTGTTTTTCCTCCTTCCATCAACTTGGCTCATGAAATTGCACACCGCACTTCTATTGGTGCATATGGGTACCTATGTGTATAATATGACTTTCCATATTTCCATTATGTGTGGGTGTGTGGATATGTGTGCATGTGCATGACTCACACGGGTTCCCAGGGTTCAGTGCTGATATGCTTCATATTTCCTCTGTTGACATAGAGACAGAATATTCATATGATTGATGTTTTTGTTTTCTTGCTTTTTGCAAGAGAAAAAGCAAAAGATGGAAAAACAGATATAGATGTAGGCAGTCAGAACAATCAAGAGTTTGATCTCGTGTGTGTGTGTGTGTGTGTGTGTGTGTAGTGTGTTAGCATGCACCCACACTTGTGCACGTTTGCAGGTGGGTCTGTCTCTTTATCTCTGCAGTCAAACTTCTGCAGGTGTCTGTCAGGAAAAATTACTGTGTGAATAAACAGATGGCTTCTATTGGCTGGCTCATTATCAGGACAGCTGGTTGGCGGTGATGTCAGTCAAAGTTCAGTCAAGGTGTTTTATATTATATTGATACTGATGTGATTTAGTTGCAGTGTGACAGTTCAGTGAGCATGACTTCTGTCAAAATGCTCTCAAGATCGAGAGTCCCAGAGTGAATTTATCTGTGATGATCTAATGTTTATTTCTAAAACCTATTTTGTGTGCTTTTGTTCCTCTGTGTGTATGTGTGTGCTTGTTTACATCTGTGTGCCTACCTACCTGCACCGTGTGTGTGTGTGTGTGTGTGTGTGTGTGTGTGTGTGTGGGGCAGTGTGGACAGGATCCAGCAGCTAAGAAGAGAATACCAGCAGGCAAGGAGAGAAGGCATGGTGCCGCCTTATGAAGAACTGGACCCACGACGCAGAGGACATGAAAACGATGTACACAGGGTGAGGACACACACACACACACACACACACATATACACTTACATGCACATGGGAAAGTCCACAGACAGGCAGATTAGGTGAATAGCCTCATAATCTCCTCTATGAAGCATTTTCTGCCCTTTTGTTCAACCTTTCATTAGTCTGTCCATCATCAGGTTGTCTTCACAAGAGATAACCAAGTGATCACTGTGTGCTTGTGTGTACACACCATCGACTTTGTACAGTCTATATGTGTGTATTTGTGAGGTTTCTTGATTCCTATTAACTATCAGAATGATCACTGCTTTTATTGCGTTTGTCTGGTGATCAAGGCCCGTTAGCTGTCAGTCACAAAGTGCTTTGACGTGAATAGCTCCTGAAGGCAGTGAGCTGATAGGACTTGATGTGATCCACTTTTCACTGAGGATGAGACACAGAGGAGATAAGTAGAGATTTTACACACTTGTCATCCTGCAGGTACTGTCTTTCAAATCACAGAATCATAAGCACATCCTCACAGATCCACTTTTGAGCTGAGACCGTCTGAGTCATGCTGGAAGAAACTCAAAAACACGTCTGTGATGCCGTAATAACGGGTAAATTATCAATGTGCTAACAAGAAATCACCTCCCACGCTTGGACCAAGTGTCACCCTGCAGTGACTTTGTTTGCTGCCGTTGCTAAGCAAATTTAAGTACCGCTATTATAAATGTGTCTCTGGGTATCAGATTTTATTTTTTATAATTCTGACAGTGCCATTATTTTGCATATCTCTTCGTCAATCAGACACTAACGATATGTTTCTTCTCGCTTGCTGCTGTCCATGTTTTCCTTCATGCAGTACATGACTGCAAATGCTTCCTTTTAGCCTAAACTCTATATTGTATACGTTTCCATGTGTTACAGTGTTAGCAGAGCAGGTGCATAGCAAAACCTGTCTTTTCAGCCTGGTGTCTTTACTACTGTAAAGTCAGGTGCCTCCTAAATGTTACCTTACCGCTTCTCATCACCATGACATTTACGCTTCCATGGTTTTTTGTGGAGCAAAAAAAAGAAAATCACCCTGAGCAACCAAAATGAGTTGTTTCGTGATGGAGCTAAAATTTATCTGCTATGACAAATGGACAGGTTTATTGCAGCACGTCACAGTTTAACCACTGTACCATGATCTTCAGTCAGTCAGAAGCTTAATTTATTTGTACCAGGATACTGTCCTCAAACCTCATCATGGAGTAGTTAAAAGAAGAATACAAAACAGTTTGTGTTCTTTACTGAGTGATTAAAGTTGCTCAGGGGACCCTTCGAGAACTGGGCTTTTCTCTGTGTGTGTGTTTGTTACATTAGTGTGCATTATTAGGAGTTGCAATATGTTAGGCCATGAGTACTTTGTTTTGTGCAAGAGAAATATATCATGTGCTTGTACATCAGGAAGTACAGTTGGTACAGTAAAATTCAGGGCTGCTTGCAAAAATCCACATACCAGGATTTTGTTTAGAGGTAATAACTTTGCAATTACTCATCTTAGCTACAAGAAAAGTAGTGTCACTCACTGCAACCATTAGTCTACCTAACCTTCCATCTATTAAATGTGCTCTTTTCTTATATATGATTGTATGGACTGCTGTGAAATCAGAGTTTTTTGTTTTGGGTTATTTTTGTAGGGCATACATCAATAAATAGGAGGGGGTAGAATTAACTAAAACTAGATTGAGCTATTTGACAAAAGTAAGATCTCCTCAGGCAGATCATTCCAGAGCATAATGGCAGTAAAGGACAAAGCTTGGTCACCGCTGGTCTTTAGCTTTAACTGTGGAATAGCTTAAAGGGCACTGCTTGGAGGATCTCAGACAGTTCAATAATGTAGCCAGGTGCCAGGCCATGCAGCGCTTTAATAGCCAGTAATATGATTTTAAAATCAATTCTGAAATAAACCCATGTAAAGAGGCTACAACAGGTTTAATGTGATCCCATCGTGTAGTTTTAGCGTAAAAAAAAGAGTTTCAGCTCAGTTTTGCACAGCCTGTAGCCTGTCCAAAGCTTTTTGGTGAAAACAGGTTAAAAGAGCATCCTGTCATAATGAAATTAAGGCATGTATAACTGTCTGGTTTAGTGACACAATGATGAAAGTATTTCACCACAAGATTTGTGACTGTAGCTGTCCACTTTTACTGCCACTTCCTCTGTTGTAGAGCTGATCAGACGATAAATCAATTAGCTGATCATCAGAAAATTAACCTTTTCCTCTTGCTCTAGCTTCTCAGTTGGGAACTTTTTTTGCTTTATGTGATACTTAAATTAATATCTTTTGGGTTTTATTGTTGAAATAACAGTTTAAAGACTACCTTGGATTTACACATTTTACTGACTAAACAATTTATCAAGAAAATAAGATGAATTGATAATTAAAATAAGTGATTTATTCTAAAAGTATTGTGCGTTCTAATTCTGCACTGAATTAGTATCAGTTTATTGTAACAAAATACTGAAACCAACATTGAATGATTCAGAAATGTAGGACCTCTGTCATTGCATCTACATGGTGTGTTTATCCAAAGTTATACCTGGCCCGCTTTAATTCAGATCTTAAAGTCATTTGGTTTGTGACCAGCCAGGGGCAATCTCCTTTCCCCTGCGATCGATAGCCACACATTACACCCTTCTCTGCCTCCAAATGAGAAAACTTTGTTGTTGTTTATAAAGCAGCGAAGGCAGAGCAATTAGCATGCTTCAGAGGTGGAAATTAAGTTTGAAGTTTGAAAGTTAAAAAAAGGAAAGAGGGAAAAAAATCAAAAGAAAAACAGACCAGTAGCGGTTGCCACAGTGCCTAACAAGCTCCTCTCATTAAGGATGATGCATTTATTAATTAAAGCAGAGGCGATTATTTACCTGACTTGCTTTCTGTGGGAAGGGTAGAGGGAGATGTAATGGTTATGGAGGTAAGCCGACGGCAAACTAATGCAATTTCACTTTTATTGGTTTGTTTGTTTCTTCTTAAGACATTTTTATTTTTTTGTATAGGATTTGCTGAATGACTATGAAAAGTAGAAGCAATGGAACCTTAAGTGTAGGGGAGAAAAGAGGAAGGCAGAAAGGGCGGAAAGGGAGAGAGAGTTCCTCATGCAATGTTGCCACAGTATACTGAGTGTTTCTTTCCCCCTATGGCTCCATTACCATCTCATTGATTCATGGTTATGGGTTAGCTGTCTCTGCTAGCAAAATTATGTTCGCCTAAAAACAATTATCAAGCAACAAAAGCCACACCACAAGTTTGTTTCCAAGTGAGTGCATTGTGTGCTTGTGGGTGGGTGTGTGTATTTTGGAAGACAACAACAGACTTTCTCCCTAAGGAGAGGGGGAACTAAATCAACAGGGCGCTTTCGCTGTTGTCACATACGCACACATTCACACACAGTCCTACACAGAGGGTATGGAAGCCAATTGTTATAGTGGGCGGTGTGACACAGCCTTTATTATAGGATTTAATTATAATGAAAAGCTTTCATCTAGTTTTTTTTTTCCTGTACTTTGGGCTTAAATATGTGTGTTCATTTACAGTTAGTCATTTAATTACTAATGGCATGATGCAAAATGAAATAGCATTGAAGGCTCAGACTCAGAACATGCTGACTGTACTGCTTTGTCTGTTTGATTCATCTCTTTGCTGAATACACCCTTTTTTGTACCTGTTTTATGTCATGGGATTAAGATCTGGTCCAAAAAGGTGTTTTGGGACTTCATGTAATGTTAAATGGAAAAACAAATATTCCCAGCAACTGACTTCACCCCCTCTATGTAACTTAATATTGTTATAATAACTGTGAGTTCATTGTATTTTGAGGGGAGTGCCTCAACAGTAAAATTCCCTCGTGTTGTTGGGCTGTCATTATAGGTTTGTTCACTTTACCATAGATCATCAAAAAGTTGTTCATTTGTACAGTGTTAATGAAACTGTTCATTGATTTGTATTACAGTGACCTGTATTCTTGGATTTGGTAACTCTTTAAAAAGTGTTTGGAAAGAATGTGCAACTTTCTGTCCACCAAACTCGTAGCAAGGAGTCAAAGGCTCGGGTAGCATTAGATACGGATTCAGACTACTTATCTCCATTCTGTCTCTGTCTTTTTTGTCCATTTTCTAAATTTGCCCCTCTCACAGTGCACTTGACAGTTGTTGATCATGTATCTGATTAGGAAGAGCCATTTGGCTGCCCAAGCCTGCAAAACCCCCACCACAATTATTGACAAACAAGAACAAAATGTGTCAGCTTGTCTGGCGGGTGAAAGTGTTTTATTCTAACCAACAGGAGTCAAAGTTAGGATTAGAAAGTGATTCATCTCTTTATCTCTATAATTCACATCCTTATATTTGTCTTCCTGTCCACATCCTCTTTCTAATTCCTGTTATTGAAAAAAAAAAAAAAACTCTTAATGCTACAAAAGCTGAGTGGTGGTGGTGTCAGCAGACCATGAGGCTAATGTTTGAATCTCTTCAGTATTAAGCCAACCATGAGAAATATTCCACCTGAGTGAAATATGGTTTAGTCCAGGGAAGATGGTGGACAGCTAAAGTAGTAAAGTAGTTTTATTCATAATATTTTGAGCTAACATCTTAAGCAGATTATAGGAAGTATAAGCCCACTTTCTTCGCAAACCTGATATTTTGTCGTCCACCTTTCTGCTTTCTCTTATCTTCTATAGTTTTCTTCTTCATTTTTCCATTTTCTGGCACCCTTTGGTTCTCCCGACCTCTTAGCATTCCACACATGCAAGTCTAATGTAACACACCCATACGCAGACATCTGTTTGTTAGGAACTTCAGTCAGTGAGGCTCCTGTCATTCTGGCTCGCTAGCTCATTGTGGGATCATGGCATATGACATTGGGGGAGCATATTGCTCTTTTTCTACATTTACTTGATAAACAAAATTGCATTTAATTCTGATTGGTGTATATTAATGTGTTATCTTTTTGACTGTACATATATTATCTTGTATTATTATCTTTATCATGTTTGCTGTCTTGT